ATCAATTGTAGAGTATTTGACATCTCTTCCTCAAATTAATTATACAAAAGATTCTTGGGGTAGAACAAGCCTCCATTTTGCAGCGGAATTTGGGCAAGAACATATTGTCAAGTATCTTGTTGAATCATGCAATCATGATATTAATGTAGAGGATAAGTATGGCAATACTCCACTGTATATGGCATGTATTTATAATCACTTACCAGTAGTAGAGTATTTAACAGGACAACCAAACTGTAACATTAATAGTAATAATGAGAGACACCCTCTACTAGCAGCAGCAGATAAAGAACATTTAGAAATAGTGAAGCATCTCATTGAATCTACTGACTGTGGTATTAATGCTAAAGGGAGGGATGGCTTAACTCCATTACATGTGGCATGTTTGAATCGTAATTTTGAAACTGTTCAATTTCTTACCAGTTCTAGTGAATGCAATATAGAAGCTGAAGATAATGATCAAGATAGACCACTCCATTTAGCATGTCGATCAGGGAATTTAGACATTGTACGTCATCTTGTGATTGATAAACATTGTGATGTTAATGCTAAAGGGAGGAATGGCTATACACCATTACATATGGCATGTTTGAATCGTAATTTTGAAACTGTTCAATTTCTTACCAGTTCTACTGAATGCAATATAGAAGCTGAAGATAATGATCAAGATAGACCACTCCATTTAGCATGTCGATCAGGGAATTTAGACATTGTACGTCATCTTGTGATTGATAAACATTGTGATGTTAATGCTAAAGGGTGGGATGGCTTAACTCCATTACATGTGGCATGTTTGAATCGTAATTTTGAAACTGTTCAATTTCTTACCAGTTCTAGTGAATGCAATATAGAAGCTGAAGATAATGATCAAGATAGACCACTCCATTTAGCATGTGGATCAGGGAATTTAGACATTGTACGTCATCTTGTGATTGATAAACATTGTGATGTTAATGCTAAAGGGTGGGATGGCTTAACTCCATTACATGTGGCATGTTTGAATCGTAATTTTGAAACTGTTCAATTTCTTACCAGTTCTAGTGAATGCAATATAGAAGCTGAAGATAATGATCAAGATAGACCACTCCATTTAGCATGTGGATCAGGGAATTTAGACATTGTACGTCATCTTGTGATTGACAAACACTGTGATGTTAATGCTAAAGGGAGGGATGGCTATACGCCATTACATTATGCATGTGAAAAGGGTCATTTTGAAATGGCTAAAATTTTAACTGATCATTCACAATGTAATACTGAAGCTGAAAGCAATTCTAATGACAGACCACTACACAAAGCATGTGAATCAGGAAATTTAGACATTGTACCTCATCTTGTGATTGATAAACACTGCAATGTTAATGCTAAAGGGAGGAATGGCTATACACCATTACATGCGGCATGTTTAAATGGTAATTTTGAAACTGTTCAATTTCTTACCAGTTCTACTGAATGCAATATAGAAGCTGAAGATAATGATCAAGATAGACCACTCCATTTAGCATGTCGATTAGGGAATGTAGACATTGTACGTCATCTTGTGATTGATAAACACTGTTATGTTAATGCTAAAGGGTGGCATGATTATACTGCATTACATTATGCATGTGGGAAGGGTCATTTTGAAATTGTTAAAATTCTGACTAATCATCCACAATGTAATATTGAAGCTGAGGACATTCTTAATGACAGACCAATACACAAAGTATATGAATCTGGAAATGTAGACATTGTACGTCATCTTGTGGTTGACAAACACTGTGATGTTAATGCGAAAAGAGGGAATGGCTATACACCATTACATTATGCATGTGAAAAGGGCCACTTTGAAATTGTTAAAATTCTGACTAATCATCCACAATGTAATCTTGAAGCTAAGGACATTCTTAATGACAGACCACTACACAAAGCATATGAATCTGGAAATGTAGACATTGTACGTCATCTTGTGGTTGACAAACACTGTGATGTTAATGCGAAAAGAAGGAATGGCTATGCACCATTACATTATGCATGTGAAGAGGGTCACTTTGAAATTGTTAAAATTCTAACTAATGATCCACAATGTAACATTGAAGCTAAAAGTTATTGTAATAGAAGGCCATTAGATTTAGCTTTTCGTCATAAACCTCCTACTAAAAGTCATATCGACATTGTCGATTATCTCATTGATGTTAAAGGTTGTGATACTCAGGGTATTGATAGGAAGGCTACTAATTTTCTTCATATTCGTCAATCCAGTGGTATAGCATTATTACGTGTTGTTAAGTGTATATTGACAGGTCCTCCTGGTGCTGGTAAGAGTACATTGAAGAAGAGACTCCTCAATCAATCTCTTGATACAGGTCCTTCTCTTAGTACTGGTGTAATTGATGCAGCTGTACAAGTTAATTCATTTCGTAAACTATCACAGCACAATGCAGTAGTGACCACAGAATGGAAGGAACAGGAACTTGATGAAGAAGCTATACTGATCACTAAGAAACTATTACCAGCAAACAACACTTCAGACGAAAGCACTAGACCTACTCAGTCTACTTTATTCATTGAAAATACAAGAACTTCATCATTTGAAAAAAAATCAAGATCACCAGAAGAAATAGGCCTGTCTGATCAACATGATAATGTACCAAGTGTTACATCTTCACCTACTTTCATGCACTCTCAAGTAATTGATACCACAAGTTATAATGAAAAAAGCTCAGATATGGAGCATGAGAATATAGCTGATTCATGCGGAGCACCTGTCAATTGTGAGGAGGAAGAAACCAAAACTGATACTGAAGTGCAAAACAGCAGCAGTTCAGTAATAAAAGGATTTTCGGATTTTTTATCAAAGATACCTGTTAGAAAAAGAGAAGAATACGAGAGGAAGTTTGAAGAAGAAAAAGATGACAATCACACAATGTTACACATTATTGATACTGGAGGACAACCTGAGTTTCATGAAATATTACCAGCTCTTATAACTGGCCCAGCTATTAATCTACTGGTATTCAAACTAACTGAAAATTTAAGGAGCCGCTATGAAATAATCTATCGAACCTCTGCTGGTGATTCTAAACCTTATGAAACCTCATTGACACATGAAGAAGTGATATTCCGTTCACTAGCAAGCATAGCTTGTTT